CCAGTTTTCGTGCACCCGGTTGTTTTCTGAAGCAGTGTGTGTTCACGAATGCACAGTTCTGAATCCTGTGACGACCCGGGCTAGGATGGCCTTCAGTAACCCATGCTTGTCGTAAGATGCCACTCACGGGATCGGGTGGTCAGACTCGCTGACTTGGTTGACACATGTCATCGGTTCCCAAATGTGCAGATCGATGCTCATGATGTCAGTCACTGGATTGTCTGGTCCGAATCCGATGTGGTGTAGCAAATCATTATGTTATATTTCTACCGTGTGTTACTGTATTCATCCATAAACAATGATTCTTTTGAAATAGTGGGAATGATTAAACGGAGTCAGAGGCTGCTTAGGGTTATGGAAAGGGTTTTGTCAATTTCAATGTAGGTTGTATTCTTTAATACTGACGAGGAAAACTTTGACCTATATTATAACAAATACATGACTGAAATCCCTGCCGTAGGTAACATACAAAGAAATAAACATACATGTACATCTGAATGCGATATGATGATCAGCTATTGGAAGTTTTGGCAGTACACACAAATTCGTGTAAATCATACAGTTCGCTGACCTCCACTGAAACATTCTTGGTGCCGTAATTCAGCTGAAATCTTGCCGATGTGGCGTCTCACAACAGTGACACTGAAAACAACTTATAACGCATCGCTTGGATAAACTTCTTTATTTTAGTACATATCAACGTAAGAAAATATGATCAAAGATGAACGTACGTGCGACAGGGAACTGACAGAAAATGCAAGTACGATGTCTTTGTGTGTCGGAACACCTCATGACGTCACAGATGACCTATTGTAACGGTTACACTGTTAAATGATTACACGTTTCGGGGGGAAATAAGCCCTCACAATTAGCACAGAAACAAGCTTGAAACACCTCTATAGTTACCCGTTGTGTCGAGACACTGATAATCAGGGGACCAAGGTCGGGAATTCAATATATCTTCTAGTTGATATTCAGCATTTCCTTTGTGGAAATCGTGTAATTCTTATCTATATGTCAAACTGAGAATGTCAGGCTTGTGGTAGGATTTAAAGGCGTATATCGAAAGCTATGGAATTGGAATGTGATAAATATGTACGATGTTACTCTGAAGTAACAATACAGAAGCACTGTTAATATAGTTAACGTTGCTACACGGCGTAGCTCCGTAGACAACGCAACGATAAAGTACACAGACCAGTTCTGTTGATATTTCTATTGATGAGTCACAGAAACATTGGCTTATGAGACGGAGGCTTTTGATGGTTTTGGTATAATATATCCCGGTAGAGAGGTATCCGGGTTGGTATCCTGATATATTCATTACTTAAGGTGGGCGAGTTTAGTTTTACGCCGCATTTAGCAATATTCCAGCAATATCACGGCGGGATACACCAGAAATGGGCTTCACACATTGTACCCATGTGGGGAATAGAACCCGGGTCTTCGGCGTGATGAGCGAACGCTTTAACCCATTGTACCAATGCGAGCAATCGAACCCGGGCCTTTGGCGTCACGAGAGAAGGCTTGATCAGTCGACTACCTCAACGCTCTGACGGATTAGATGGGTTTAGTTCGACATATGTCATAGATGCTGTTGACATCGCTCTGCTCCACAGATAAAACTAATTATGTCGATTTAAAGAGCGACACTATCAAGATGACGTCATTGTGTTCGAGTTAACAGTGCTATCGTAGACATGATCTTACGGTCAAGATAATATCGACATTGTCAAGATAAAATTGGTATTGTGCAGATAACATTGATTCTTTCTAGATAACATCGATATTGTTGAGATAAGATTCATTGTCCTAATAACATTCATGTGATATAGTATTGCCGAGATAAGAATGCTGTCGTCGAGAAAACATTAATAACTTGTCGAGATAGCATGGAGGAGAAGGCAATCAGTAGTGAGGTACATTGGAACACCACGTCAATAATATTACATTGCAAAAATAGTTATGAAAATGCAGAAAATACCCATGGTGGTATAATTTCACAACAATGATAATCATATATATATAGGTCACTGTATGTACATTTGATAAATTTGTATAAAAGTACAGTGAAATATTAATTGCAACACACCAATAATTTGATTTGAGCAACAGAATCACGCACACTCAGATGTTATTAACCCCCTGTCAGGCCCCGCCCATGGGATGAATGATCCTCGCCCTTCATGAATGGGGGATTTTACATGCCATGGAGATATTGTCCCAGCTCAGTGAAAGCCCTTTTTCATTATCAACTAGAGACTACAAATTGTTGATGCTACAGAAAGACATACTTCTAATAATTATTCCTTAACTAATTTTCAGGTTTCAATAACAAAATTGCGATCTACGACTGCTTAATGTTTCTAATGTATTTCCCAAGCTGACAAAAATATTTGACCACTTTGGTATTGGGGAACTGGGATATAAGGATACATTCTCTCCCTGTGTACAGCATGGATGCCTGCTCGTCTAACAATGGCGGCACTACAGTTTCTGACTAACAGTCGATGGCGAAACAGCCTCGACCTGATCTGGACTACATGTATATCCGGTTATGGACGCGCATGCGCAGCATCATTTATTACGAATTTGAAAATTAGATTTGGACAGAAAAACTGCTCTTCTGATGTTAATATTGGCGAGAGCTGTTATATGTTTACAACAAACTTCACCTTATTTCTCTCGCTATTTGTTTTCACTGATTTTGAGTAGTTCCGGCCAATGAATGCTATGTCACGTGCTGTCCAATCGCAGATTACAAGACATCGGTCACCGCCTATTGGTTTAGGTAGACATGAGCGCAGTCAATTCTCATATGTACTGTACACAATTCTATCCCATATAATACTGAAGGTACATAATGACTGGAACTGTTCCCACGACGCGCTATCTATAGGTCGGGAGTTGCGTCTTCTGTCATGACAGTATAATATTAGCAGGTACAACAGCAGGGCACGCCCATTAATGACATATTTCTGATTGGCTGTTTGGGTGGTATGGATTATCATAGGTCACGTGATTACCTTAAAAGGACTATGTACACTAGAAATGGAGAACCATTTGAAGCAATATTTCAATGAAAATGAACAAATGAATTGAAACTTGAAATAATGTTATACATGGCACGCGTTATACATTTGAAAATATGTAAATGATTAAAACATCAATGGCATAATCATATAGGCATAAGCACAGTCCCATTTACCAAAGACAGTAATCTGTCATAGCAACCATTCCAGCAGAATATTGTATCAATGCAAAACAAACAATAACAATTTGTAGATATTTCAAGTAACAATTCAAATCCTAAAACACCTTGTAAATATGTCTGTATTGTAAGACCAGTATTGAATAATTGGTTAGTTTATAAGCACCGATGCTTAATAAAGACAAATACGTGTAAAGATGCCCATTGCAAATAATAGTTAGATTTCTTAAAATGTTTTTCTTCTTCTGTATATCTGCATCTCGTGGGTCAATAAAACAAACAAATTGGAAGAAATATCGAGTTAACTTTACCATGATCCCTTTTTACGAATCTGTACCGTGGTAAATACAAGGTGTTTTGGAAGTAGATCAGATAAATCGGTGATGTAGAAATTGTTTACGAAGCTATGTAAATTTGCAACAAATCAACCAACGTATATACACCAACAAATTAAAATGTATAACGGTATATTCGTGTTACTTCAAAAACAACGAGAAGCATGCAAACACCTATTCCGGTTTATGTCTAAAATTCAAGAGTGTTGAGAGGGTAAGCTTAACCGTTGGCATAATTTGCATATACCGATGAAGGTTGCATACTGGCACATTTCAAGCCTCGGTGGAAAGATTGCAGCTGTAGTTCCGCTAGAGCAACGAGAGTTGCCTCCCTTGTGCCATAAACCCGAGAGCTCATTCGTCACCATTCCAAACTTTGTTACCTACTTTGTGCCGCCATAACTCGAAACGAAGACAATCACTCAGCCTTAATTGTTTTTTTTATTATGCCTAATGTAATATTTAACTATTATCTTTTTGCAATATGAGTTCAATTGTTTTGAAGAAATAGGCACAATTGGTTTTGCACCGTTTTACATGGCAGCCACATTGAACTGTAAAAGCTACTCGGTTTAAGCTACTCTAAGCTAACTTTAGTTTGATATCCATTTTCATGATATATACCAAAAATTTAAAGATGCACCGAAGTAGACGAACTATTCATTAGTTTCACACCATCTGTTGTCAGACTCTTATGTAAACCGACGGTGGCTGAGTGGGTTAGATTGCAGAACTGCCGCTGCTAACAAAGAAATCACAAACTCCTTGACTAACTGTTTCAGTTAAACTTCATCATGTGAGTTATTTTATATCGAAGACGTCTTCTTATTGTGATTTTTACCATGAGAAATATTACACTCGCAATTTGCAAACACTAAATGAAAAAATAGAATACTTCTTAAGATAAGGATTTTTTTCGTAAAAGGTTCAAACCTTTTTTAATCAGGAATAAATAAATCCTGCTGTAATGCCTACATATTACTTCAAAATAAGATTTCTTATTCAAATTGGAAGAATTCTTTGCGTTCTTTCGCCAATCGGCTTGTCACGGAAGGGTACGATGAATTCGAGACACATGATCATTTTTCTTCAGATTGATTTGACGGATGTAACATCTACTTTATAATTTTCGTTCCAGTATTAAACGTAAATGCTAGATTATGCTATGTTACATTAGGGTCAAATCTTATGAAAGCTAAGGCGACGTTTGGGGCGACATTCTGTTTCCTTGATACAAAGCGAAAAATCATCCCTGCAGTTGTAGTACAAGGGAGGTAACTCAGGAGGAACAATATCAACACAACTCCTCTCTTGGCGAGAGCGACAATGTCAGTTGTGAAGGTGAAGGTCAACAAAGTGAGAGTCCCTCAACATGGTAGGAAGAAGAACACAAGGCACTGCAGGGTACAGCGACAAGCTGCGCACGCACACCGATCACGTGGTCAACTCTTTTGCAAGGAAGACTATTTCGTAGACGTAGCTGCTGCCGTCCACGTGTTGATGAAATCTGAAAGGCAGATCATGTGGTCAATTATTATGGCATGCAGAGGCTGACACAACAAACACTTACGTCATCAGGGATTCGAAGTCGTTTAGTTCACATCGTTACGTTGAGGTTCTTGAGGGGCATTTAGAAGTTGGTGTTCAAGTAAAACGCAAATATTATGGATGACAACTTCTTCTTTATTGTATGTCACAATGTTTCTGGGCTATTCCTTGCCCCTTCGTCAGGTGAATTGAAACAAGCAACATACGTCAATGGGTATAATCCCAGTCCAGCTGTAATAAGACAATTACAACCGCAGCTGAACAGGGATCAAGGCATTGGTGGATCCAAAGGGGGGTTCAGGGGGTTGAAAATGACTTAAGTCCACATTGAAGATTTTTTTTGCGTTGGCGGAGTCAATGGGGGGTTCAGGGGGGTTCTGTTTTTTTTCAACATTCCTGGATCCGCCCATGGATCACGGAATGTTCAAGGAATGTACCTCCCCAGTGCCTGGGAAGCCAATTAGCTCATTACTGGCTTCTACCCACATCTTCTCATCACTTGTATAAACTCTCCTCTTGTATAAACAAAGCCTATATGTCTTGTACTATGGGTCAGCCATATGGGGTACAAAACAATTATTCAGTTGTATAAATGCAGTACAAAATAAGTCCTGTAGATTCTTCCTGGGCGTAGGCAGTAAGACTCCAAATCTAGCGGTCCGGGAAGAGATGGGTTGGACAACTCCATTTTCCAAACAAAAAATTGAAATTGTACGGTTCTGGCGTAAGCTCTGTTCTACTGAACAGTCGAACTTTGGAACGACCGATCCCCGAGGGAAACCTAACGGGAATAAACTTCGTACTTACAGAAAGTTTAAGAAACTATCAACAGCTGAGCCACATGTCACTGAACTTCTGCCTAGATCTCATCGCAGTACACTTAGCAAGTTACGATGTGGCACCCTACCTCTGGAAACAGAGGTCGGTAGATTTACACGCCCTAAAACACCCTTAGACGATAGAATTTGTAAATGTTGTGATGGCAATACGATTGAGGACGAAGTTCACTTTTTGGTCAGCTGTCCACTATATTCGGATTTACGATATGACTTGTGGGAAAATGTATTAAATATTAACCCTTTTTTCTCTCTTGTCACCTTCTGACCAGGCCGCATATATGCTAGGTAATGTTAAATTAATAAAACCCTTAGCTGCATTAGTTACTAAAATGTTTAATAGACGTAAACGCACTTTGTAGTCATGTAATTAAATAAATATACCACACCCCATTGTTGCTTACAAAGCTGTGATATTTTATTTACTACTATCAGTTTTAGGATTTTAGTGCCTTGTGTCTCATAGGGCATATGGCCGGATGTTATATTTTATTGAATGTTTTAAAGTCTATGTATGTTTTATATATAACATGTGACACATAAATAAACATATTTTTTCTTCTTCTTCTCCTATTATCTGTACATCTCACACTTTCATCTCCTGTTTCTTATCCAATTTATTGTATATACATGCAACACTGGCTTCTGGTACGTTTAGTATATCGATATACTCATTGATGTATCTTGTTTGTTACAATTCACCTGACGAAGGGGCAAGGAATAGCCCAGAAACGTTGTGACATACAAGAAAAAAGAAGTTGTCATCCATAATATTTGCATTTTAATCGTTACGTTATTTGGTTATTGCAACAGGAGTGAGTCGGATTTTGCCACACTAGACAATGCGAATGTGAAGACATTGTATTGAAAACAAACAGAAATTGTCGTTATAGACTTATATGAAGTTAGATGGAACATATGTTGAATATGACATATGACAGACTACGTGAGTGAGGTGTGACGTCACTTTGAACTGTTTTTCAGTTACATCAGAGTTATATCGTCTTCAGTGATGCGTGTCCTAGATGTATAACACATTGCGAAACCCATAAATAAATCTACAAACATTATGAAGTGCATCTGGGATTCGAACATGTTATTTTGTATAAGCTCTATCACTTTTTACATATTCTACTTTCTTGTCCTCTGTATGTCATCTTTAATTGCGGGAATCTAAATTACCTATGTACATACCAAGGAGAGGGTATTCTAAGTTGGAGAACTTGTTCCTAATCATTTTCTCTGTCAATAAAATAAGTTTAAAACAACATGCCACCTGAGTTATACGATTTCAGAATCGTGCAGATGCACCTGATTGGAAGTACTATCAGTCGGTATCAGATGATCGGGTCTTTGACTGACTGAGGTTCGATCACATCGATTGATGCTCACAACATCAATGACCGCTGACTGCGGAGTTAATAGTACAGCTAACACCACAAGGTTACGGTGTCTCTGGAAGCGTGTTTGTGCCATAGTCTAACATGTTTCATCTAGGTAGAAGATACATCCATATTTATATTGTTGTACTAGATACTTTCGTTTACTAGATGATACATCTAGGTGCGTAATTGATACTTAAACTTATAGAAGCGTAATAGGACCAGTGTTTAATTTTTTTATCATTTACGTAGAAGATACTTTCATCTCCATATATGGTATAATAATCGTGCATATTGTTACTGAGACAGATATACTGTGTCGTCCCAGGCTAGATACAGTCTAAGCAAGCATTGGAAATAGTTTATTCTAATATATAATTCATGGTTGGAGACATTTTAGTCGTATATTTTCATTTGGCCTTTTCTGTAATTTATTTAACCGTAAACATTTCAAAGTATCAGCGTTAAAAAATACTCTCATAATAAACTCATTGAACAAAAAACTTCAAAGCGTTTAAATGAAGAGTTACTCGTATATTGAATGCCAAGATAGTTCCTCGCTAAAGCACACCAAGGTTGAATTTCAGACAAAACGATCATGCTAATTATAGTCTGTTTGCAGTGAAAACGTACCGATGAATTTCACTTAAAGCAAAAAAGTAAATCATATAAAGTGAAATTAAGATTGCCGACAGACTATAAACCAAACTGTTAAATAAATGAACAATTTTGGGATGCAGCGTTAAAGAACTAAACAAAACTTGAGCAAGAGGTTATATCAAATAGACCGGAAACTATTGTTGATTACTGGAAAAATATGATTGCAAAGTCGGTAGGTTTTGATACCCGATGATACCCTTTCCTTTGTACATCATAATGACACATACGTAAGTTTAAGCATGATATTACTATTGTCAGTTATTCGAGAAACGTTGATAATTCGATACTTGGTGATACCTTCTCCTAAATAGATTAAGTAGATACGTAAACACGTAGACTACGTAGATGTGCAGAATGTTTTAGAGTGGGACACTAATACGTTTCACATAATTCAACTTCATTCAACTTCATTCAACTGTAATACCATAATAATATCGCGCCCATTTTGGTTCGAATAAAACGGGCCGACAAAACTGCCCTTCCCCGAAACTGGTTTCTGGGTTATGCTAAATACAACAAAGGGGTAACAAGTGTTATCACCACGCTAATTTCAACATGTGTCCAATGGTTGAAGGTCTTTAGTCATTTCTTATCGTTGAAATGTTTAGCTAGATTTTGGAGGCACAGAGAGGTGTAATCTGGTTTAGCATTAATTTTCTTTTGATACAGTAATGAAATAGTCAGTAAATAACCTTTTGCTTTACCATCTGAACGCCCACCTAAAACGTTTTTTCTTCAACCTTCCGCACGTGCACATAAAAGAAAATGATATTTTTTGGATAATGTGAGAATTTTAAAAGACGGTTGTTATGCACCTGGTGCCGTCTGAAGGCTGACTCGCTGCGAACGTCCATCAGCTGTTACTAGTTATGACTCAGTGGCTGCACATTAGTGAAACTATTGGTTGAACCATTCCTTTACTGTCTTCATTCACTTCATGTGCTATACCCTTAACATACCTACAAAGTGCACCCTTAGTACATAGTCGACCTCACTACCGCGATGAACTACCCATTACAAACCTTCATAGTTGGCCAGTTGGTAAATAGTTACCTCCCTGTCGCCATGTATTGCCCTCGACTCACCTTCATAGTTAGCCAGTTGGTAAATAGTTACCTCCCTACCGCCATGTATTGCCCTCGACTCACTTTCATAGTTAGCCAGTTGGTAAATAGTTACCTCCCTACCGCCATGTATTGCCCTCGAGTCACCTTCATAGTTGGCCAGTTGGTAAATAGTTACCTCCCTGTCGCCATGTATTGCCCTCGACTCAACTTCATAGTTGGCCAGTTGGTAAATAGTAACCTCCTTGCCGCCATGTATTGCCCTCGACTCACCTTCATAGTTGGCCAGTTGGTAAATAGTTACCTCCCTGCCGCCATGTATTGCCCTCGACTCAACTTCATAGTTGGCCAGTTGGTAAATAGTAACCTCCTTGCCGCCATGTATTGCCCTCGACTCAACTTCATAGTTGGCCAGTTGGTAAATAGTAACCTCCTTGCCGCCATGTATTGCCCTCGACTCACCTTTATACTTGGCCAGTTGGTAAATAGTTACCTCCCTGCCGCCATGTATTGCCCTCGACTCACCTTCATAGTTGGCCAGTTGGTAAATAGTAACCTCCTTGCCGCCATATATTGCCCTCGACTCACCTTCATAGTTGGCCAGTTGGTAAATAGTTACCTCCCTGCCGCCATGTATTGCCCTCGACTCACCTTCATAGTTGGCCAGTTGGTAAATAGTAACCTCCTTGCCGCCATGTATTGCCCTCGACTCACCTTCATAGTTTCCTCGTCGGTAAATAGTTACCTCCCTGTCGCCATGTATAGCCCTCGACTCAACTTCATAGTTTCCTCGTCGGTAAATAGTTACCTCCCTGCCACCATGTATTGCCCTCGACTCACCTTCATAGTTGGCCAGTTGGTAAATAGTTACCTCCCTGCCGCCATGTATTGCCCTCGACTCACCTTCATAGTTGGCCAGTTGGTAAATAGTAACCTCCTTGCCGCCATGTATTGCCCTCGACTCCCCTTCATAGTTGGCCAGTTGGTAAATAGTAACCTCCCTGCTGCCATGTATTGCCCTCGACTCACCTTCATAGTTTCCTCGTCGGTAAATAGTTACCTCCCTGCCGCCATGTATTGCCCTCGACTCAACTTCATAGTTTCCTCGTCGGTAAATAGTTACCTCCCTGTCGCCATGTATTGCCCTCGACTCAACTTCATAGTTTCCTCGTCGGTAAATAGTAACCTCCCTGCCGCCATGTATTGCCCTCGACTCAACTTCATAGTTTCCTCGTCGGTAAACATTTACCTCCCTGCCGCCATGTATTGCCCTCGACTCACCTTTATAGTTTCCTCGTCGGTAAATAGTTACCTCCCTGCCGCCATGTATTGCCCTCGACGCACATTCATAGTTTCCTCGTCGGTAAATATTTACCTCCCTGCCGCCATGAATTGCCCTCGACTCACCTTTATAGTTTCTTCGTCGGTAAATAGTTACCTCCCTGCCGCCATGTATAGCCCTCGACCCAACTTCATAGTTGGCCAGTTGGTAAATAGTTACCTCCTTGCCGCCATGTATTGCCCTCGACTCACCTTCATAGTTTCCTCGTCGGTAAATAATTACCTCCCTGCCGCCATGTATTGCCCTCGACTCACCTTTATAGTTTCCTCGTCGGTAAATAGTTACCTCCCTGCCGCCATGTATAGCCCTCGACTCACCTTCATAGTTGGCCAGTTGGTAAATAGTTACCTCCTTGCCGCCATGTATTGCCCTCGACTCACCTTCATAGTTTCCTCGTCAGTAAATATTTACCTCCCTGTCGCCATGTATTGCCCTCGACTCACCTTTATAGTTTCCTCGTCGGTAAATAGTTACCTCCCTGCCGCCATGTATTGCCCTCGACTCACCTTCATAGTTGGCCAGTTGGTAAATAGTTACCTCCTTGCCGCCATGTATTGCCCTCGACTCCTCTTCATAGTTTCCTCGTCGGTAAATATTTACCTCCCTGCCGCCATGTATTGCCCTCGACTCACCTTCATAATTGGCCATTCCGTTCCCTTTTGATTCAGACACAGTTGACCCTCACCTTCATAGTTGACCCTCCCGTCGTCATCTACGGCAGCCTCCTTCATCATATCGCTGACCTCTTTCTCTGACAAAGGTTCTCCCATGTTTTGCATGACTGCTCGCAGTTCAGACGCATCGATGAAGCCATCTTCATTTTTGTCGAACACCTTGAAAGCCATCCTAATGGCGTTGTCTTGCTTCTGAGGGTCTTCGGCCTTCTTTAAGTGCTCCACCATAAAGTTGTAGAACTCTTTGTACTCTATCTTACCGCTACCTGTAAAATCATGTACAAAATCTGTTTTAAACAACTGTGTAGGCAGATGCTCAGGATGACAATCACTGGATAGTCTGGTTCAGACAAGGTTACTTACAGACCACCGACATATAGCTTGAGTATTGCTGACTGCGGCGTCAAACAAAAGAAACAAACCAAACGACACGCAATAGATAAATAAAGCAGGCACATTACCAGCTCAGACATATCAGCTTCATACTTGTATCTGTAAAAATGTAACTAAGTACAGAACAGTAACCATATAATCCACTGAAACGCCTCAGACACAAAGTACCAAAAAGATCAACGACTTTCAGATACACCCATTCAGATACAGACGAGCAGTTGTCGCCAGTCCAAGCCATATAAACTAACCAGCCACACCTGACTCATTCCCACATCTGGGATACACACACACGCAAGCACGCACACCAGTCACATCTATACGAATGATTGAATAAAGTCACATCTCATCCATTCCCATACAGACCAACAGCACCCTAGTAACACATTCATCATATATACCAGCAATAAATTGGTAACACAGCCATCATATCTACCAACAGCACCCAAGTAACACACCCATCATATCTCCCAACAGCACCGAAGTAACATACCAATCATATCTACCAACAGCAGCCAAGTAACACACCCATCATATCTACCAACAACACCCAAGTAACACACCAGTCATATCTACCAACAGCAGCCAAGTAACATACCCATCCTATCTACCAACAGGACCCACGTAACACACCAATCATATCTACCAACAGCACCCTAATAACTCACCCATCATATCTAATAAGAGCAACCAAGTAACATACCCATCATATCTACCAACAGCACCCTAGTAACTCACCCATCATATCTAATAAGAGCAACCAAGTAACATACCCATCATATCTACAAAAAGCACGCAAGTAACATACCCATCATATCTACCAACAGCACCCAAGTAACATAAACTTCATATCTACCAACAGCACCCAAGTAACACATCCCCATCATATCTACCAACAGCACGCAAGTAACATACCCATCATATCTACCAACAGCAACCTAGTAACACACCCATCATATTTATCAACAGCACCCAAGTAACACACCCATCATATCTACCAACAGCACCCAAGTAACATACCCATCATATCTACCAACAGCAGCCAAGAAACACACCCATCATATCTACCAAAAACACCCAAGTAACATACCGATCATACCTACCAAAAGCACCGAAGTAACATACCCATCATATCTACCAACATCACCATAGCAACTCACCCATCATATCTAATAACAGCACCCAAGTAACATACCCATCATATCTACCAACAACACCCAAGTAACATACCCATCATACCTACCAACAGCAACCAAGACACATACCAGTCATATCTACCAACATCACCCTAGTAACTCCCCCATCATACCTACCAACAGCACCCTAATAACTCACCCATCATATCTACCAACAGCACCGAAGTAACACACCCATCATACCTACCAACAGCACCCAAGTAACATACCCATCATATCTACCAACATCACCCTAATAACTCACCCATCATATCTAATAAGAGCAACCAAGTAACATACCCATCATATCTACCAACAGCACCCTAGTAACTCACCCATCATATCTAATAAGAGCAACCAAGTAACATACCCATCATATCTACAAAAAGCACGCAAGTAACATACCCATCATATCTACCAACAGCACCCAAGTAACACACCCATTATATCTACCAACAGCACCCAAGTAACATACCCATCATATCTACCAACATCACCCTAGTAACATACCCATCATATCTACCAACAGCACCCTAGTAACATACCCATCATACCTACCAACAGCACCCAAGTAACACACCCATCATATCTACCAACAGCACCCAAGTAACATACCCATCATATCTACCAACAGCACCCAAGTAACACACCCATCATATCTACCAACAGCACCCAAGTAACATACCCTTCATACCAGATACAATCTAGTCAAAACACCAATCATACCAGTACCATCTTAGTAATACCTCCAGATACAACCCAGCAACAGCATAGTAACATATCCAAACATAGATGCGCTTCCCTAACCCTTCCATCCAGCAGACAGCTAGCATACCACCCACACATTCTCATACAGATCAGACCTCTACAGTCCAGTCACATTCTACCCACACAAACTAGGAATGTGCTTCACACAAGCCACCAATATGACTCATACAAACGAGTACTATCCAATTTACACAGACCAAAAACTTCCATGCTCAAAGACCAGCAACATCTTCCACACAGACCTGCAATATCATTCACAGAGACCTGCAATATCATTCACACAGACCTGCAATATCATTCACACAGACCTGCAATATCATTCACAGAGACCTGCAATATCATTCACAGAGACCTGCAATATCATTCACACAGACCTGCAATATCATTCACACAGACCTGCAATATCATTCACAGAGACCTGCAATATCATTCACACAGGCCTGCAATATCATTCACACACAGACCTGCAATATCATTCACAGAGACCTGCTGCAATATCTGCATTCATTCACACAGACCTGCAATATCATTCACACAGACCTGCAATATCATTCACACAGACCTGCAATATCATTCACACAGACCTGCAATATCATTCACACAGACCTGCAATATCATTCACACAGACCTGCAATATCATTCACACAGACCTGCAATATCATTCACACAGACCTGCAATATCATTCACAGAGACCTGCAATATCATTCACACAGACCTGCAATATCATTCACAGAGACCTGCAATATCATTCACAGAGACCTGCAATATCATTCACAGAGACCTGCAACATCATTCACACAGACCTGCAATATCATTCACAGAGACCTGCAATATCATTCACAGAGACCTGCAATATCTTCCACACAGACCTGAAATATCATACACACAGACCAACAACGTCCTTCACACAGACCAGTAACATTCTTCACCCAGACCAGCGACATCCTTCATAAACAGACCAACAACACCCTTCACACAGACCAGCAACATCATTCACTCAGACCTGCAACATTTTTGACCCAGACCAACAACATCCTTCACACAGACCAAAAACATCCATCACACAGACCAACAACATCCTTCACACAGACCAACAATATCCTTCACACAGACCAACAACATCCTTCACGCAGACCAACAACATTCTTCACACAGACCAGCAACATCCTTCACACAGACCAACAACATCCTTCACACAGACCAACAACATCCTTCACGCAGACCAACAACATCCTTCACACAGACCAACAACATCATTCACTCAGACCAGCAACATTTTTGACCCAGACCAACAACATCCTTCACACAGACCAAAAACATCCATCACACAGACCAACAACATCCTTCACACAGACCAACAACATCCTTCACACAGACCAGCAACATCCTTCACACAGACCAACAACATCCTTCACACAGACCAACAACATCCTTCACACAGACCAACAACATCCTTCACACAGACCAACAACATCCTTCACACAGACCAACAACATCCTTCACACAGACCAACAACATCCTTCAAACAGACCAGCAACATCCTTCACACAGACCAACAACATTCTTCACACAGACCAACAACATCATTCAAACAGACCAGCAATATCCTTCACACAGACCAACAACATCCTTGAAACAGACCAGCAACATCCTTCACACAGACCAACAACATCCTTCACGCAGACCAACAACATCCTTCACACAGACATCCTTCACACAGACCAACAACATCCTTCACACAGACCAACAACATCCTTCAAACAGACCAGCAACATCCTTCACACAGACCAACAACATTCTTCACACAGACCAATAACATCATTCAAACAGACCAGCAATATCCTTCACACAGACCAGCAACATCCTTCACACAGACCAACAACATCCTTCACACAGACCAACAACATCATTCAAACAGACCAACAACATCCTTCACACAGACCAGCAACATCCTTCACACAGACCAACAACATCCTTCACACAGACCAACAACATCCTTCACACAGACCAACAACATCGTTCAAACAGACCAGCAATATCCTTCACACAGACCAGCAATACCCTTCACACAAACCAGGAAATGACATCCTACCCACCGCTAGGATCCAGCTCATCGGCCACCTGTTGAACTTCCTCTTCGGACAACGGCAATCCAAACACCTTGAACGCCTTACCAAGTTCTTTGCATGAAATAGTGTTATCTCGGTTCTTGTCAAATATTCTGAATAATTCACGGATCTCTGCAAACAGAAATATGCAAGGACATGCAATATGAGACACGAAGAGAGAGACTGTGTTTGCCTAACGATATTACTAGTCTTGTCAACACCGCAGCAGGGTTATCTCTGCAGGTCATGGCGTGGTGATGAGGACAGCCTGCCGCACATGTTTGATGTCTCTAATTAAATGCTGTTTCCTTTGATGGGATATTATCGGGGCAATTTTAAACTCTTGATGTGAAATGACAATGATTATTCCTGTTATTTTCACGTAACGTGCACGTGAGTAAAAGTGCACGATTACATTTCATTGCTTGTATTTTGCGCCCCGTCAATCACAGCGTCCAATGGACGGCTTGACCATATTTATGGAAAATAGTTGGAATGAGTAGGGAGCGATATCTGCGAGAAAAGGTTCTCCCTGTGAGATTTCACATGGTATTTCATGACAATATGGATTATTTTCTTCAAAGTGTATTTTTGGAACGCCTGGTCACTTCATATATAATTCATTAATCCCCACACATATAATCAGCCTTGCTAGGACGGGGACAGTTAAGATAAAGCTCTTTTTCTGATGTACAACGTTATTATCCGTCTCTGGCTGGCAAGATGTTTATAGACAGCTTCAATAAAACATTCTAATCTAACCTGTATTGGTCCATTTCTTATCCTATCACATGAAACACATTATGATTTCTTTCAGGGAGATCAGGAGCGTTTGGTCTCGTTCGTATTTTAATGACAGAATCGTTTTCCCTTGTCCAAGTTTGCCATAAATTGGAATGAGTCTAACGCCTACTGAAAATATATGATGAAAGAAGCCAGAGACATGATTTAGAAAACAGGCTTATTAAGAGAAAATAACTTTTATATAGTGTTTGAACACCGAAGTAAACACGGGACTTAATCTCAGAGAAAACACTAAACAACATTTTTAGGACCACAACAACAACAACAACAACAACAACAACAACAACAACAACAACAACAATAGTAATACTCAGTTTGCATTATGAAATCCATACATCATGCTCAGAGAGCTAACTTATATCCTGGTCAATGGGTCAGTGTGCTCGCGAATGTCATTTTCAGCTCCTTGAGGAGTATATATTTTGTCGCCATTGAGTCCACCAATCCCCACATTAGTCTGCACAAGAAAGGCAAATCTGGCACACTAAGCACGGAATCCCCACCTGATTCAACAGTCGGGTAAAGAAAGTATACACTTGAAAACTGGATTTGACTAAATAATAATTATTACAAACGTTATCAAAACGTCACAATCTCAGAATAACTGCTGTCTTCAAGTCCAAAATACAACCGTAATGGTTGTATCAAACACCCGTATCAAACGTTCACCTTCAAATAACCATTTCTTGTATATGTACACTTCAATTTTCGCGACCATCTAACATGGCTGTATGCTTTCTTCAGCAGTCAGTATAATTTCAAAATCTGAATTTGCTTTCATGTTTAATTATAAGCGTAAATGAAAAACAATAATATCTTACCAGCATCCATTTCTCGATCCTTTCTCTTATGCTGCAGAAAAAAAGATATTCCAGTTACTGTTTCTATTACAATTCATTTATCGATCTGGCAACAGAAGGCAAACGGAAACGCCACATGTAGGCAAGTATGAAGCACTTGTAAAACGCGGTATTTAAGTCAGTTAAATATAATCTCTTATATATCAAATAGTAAAACATTACTTATCTGTTGTTTCCCAACCCAACACACGAGGAGACAAACGGACTTGTCACAGTCATATATATGTTAATGATACACTTTCTGTGGCATACAATATCAGAAACTATACACCGCCTAATTTGACATCTGAGTTACCATGACAACCATTTCAGGTAGCTACTCAAAGTGAAATATAAGCATTAGCTTGATTTTCTTTCCAAAATTCTCAAATTTCAACTTCGTCCAAATGAAACGACTTGTGGTCATAGCTGCCGGATAAGCGTGTGTTTGTCCATGTTTCAGGGCTGGGTAGAGGAACGTAGGGCCCTAAACGAGCAGTGCAATGGCACATTGGACATTGCGATAATTCCTCCGTTTCAACTTACAGGTTGTATGAAAGCAGGGGTCATATTCAACCTGGCGTTCGGAAAATACAATTTCTTCTTAGACCAGAAAACCATAACAGAGGAAGCTCGTTAGTTTGGACCTCGATATTACAGAACACTCTGTATTCCGGACGATTATTTAGGGGACTGTCTCTATCAAACAAAACGACAGCGCTACAGTACACAGACCTTTCGATAGCCTTAAATGTATTAATTCGGACGGATTGTCTGTGACTGGTTCCGTCCGGTTTATTGAGGTTTATGTGTACTTGGTATAATCCTATTTCCCAGTGGACTGCTTGTGCAGCTGTGTCTCTCATTCAATTCATTATGACAGTGTTCGATATGCCTCTTTGGTTCGATAAGGTTCATTAATTCAACATTTACATAGGGCACGCTGAAAAACAACACCGGCCCATAGAGAACTCGGTACAGGGCAGACTGAGAAGCGCTGATGAGATGTGTACAACAGATGTTGTGTCATGGGATGTACGGAGTTTACAACCAGCTGATACTGAACATAAACATCCGACTTGCATATTTCCAAATTCGACCCCTTTCTAGCAATCAATTTGTAATAATGATAGTATTGTTGCGCATCGTCTAGTCGGAGGACGATGGATCCAAGCCCAAGGAATATTGACCTCGAGTAGGCTGTCCAGACTCGAGTCACAGCGTATTGATAATCAATATACATTATTCAATAGTTAGGCCAACAGCGTGCAGAATAGTAGAGGGCAGTGATACAAACATTCAGCTGAATGGCATATCAAGGTGACCAACATACTGCCGTTAATAAGCTTTGACAATGACAGATTTCTTTTATTATTTAACTTGTTTTGTAATCAGTGGTTTATGCGAGGCGGTGTGCGGCAACCAAGGGCAACAACAGATCATTTATTTGTGACCTTCACCTTTATGTTCAATCAGAGACTGGTAAAATGAAACTACATACATATGCACCATATGCTTTAGTCAGTCACGATTTTTAAATTTACAGATGGGAAAGCATCTGATTTTATTCAGTATTTGTGAATGATGCCATTGATCTGGACGATTGCTAAACACATCAGTTGATATCAAGGACTTTCATGGAATTTCAAGCGGCCAATCTGGAGCGAGATTTTCCGTGGGGATGCGAGATGTATGCTTAAATGCAAGTGTTGTTGAAAGCCGAGCGTGGAACCTGTCTCAGATACACTGCCACGCACTCTGCATACAATAGAAGCAGAGCAACACTACAGCCGGAGCGAAGGCTTCAGGCCAGTATTACGCCATTATACAATAAGAAAGGAGCCATGTGCGTGATGAAGCCAGCTTGTGACTGGGTACTGATGTGCCCGACACCTTCCTGGAGGAGGCCGAGCCAAGTCCGTCACATCAGGGACAATACTGGGGCTTAGTGTTTAGGAGTAAGCGGAGTATTAGATAGGTGCGCCAAGAGAGCTGCCGATATAATGCGCACAGCCAATCTTCATTACCGGACACAGGCACCGAGACCCTATACAACAATGCCCGATTTCTCTATGGCATTCCGCATTGCCGAATGAGTGTCGTGGAATGCACTACATGCAGGGATGCATCATATGCACAATATTAGCTGAAGAGAGTGTATATATATTTTGGGAACCAAATCTCGCTTTACTAAGTACACAGTTTATTTGTATTGATAACTCGTAAGGAGATATTGTACATGAAAATAGTTCATACATTCGTATTATGTTATCAAAGCGAAGAGGTAGATATCTGTTCGGTAAGTGAGTTGGATTTATAGCCACTTTGAACAGTATCCCCTTATGTCAGCTTATAAATGTGGGATTAAGACTCAGACGTTTACCGCTGTCGGGAAATCCCACAAGCATGGGTACAGTGCTGACGAGCCTGACAACAAAATATGGCGAGTACAGGATTCGAGCGCTCGTTTGTTGTTTAACGCCTAACTCAACAATTGGAGGTCACATTCGTCATCGCACTACTATTGTTAGAACATTTGACCACAGATAAATGAATATTGTATGTTCACCCGTTGTCAAGATACCCGTCTTCATCATACAGACATCATTTACACTTAGTCAACACACAGATGACCTATACACCTGCACCGATGACCTTTACACCTGCATAATACACAGTGTGTCTCTATATACCTGGCCGAGATACCGATGACCTTTACGCCTGCTTAATACACAGTGTGTCTCTATATACCTGGCCGGGATACCGATGACCTTTACACCTGCTTAATACACAGTGTGTCTCTATATACCTGGCCGAGATACCGATGACCTTTACGCCTGCTTAATATACAGTGTGTCTCTATATACCTGGCCGAGATACCGATGACCTTTACGCCTGCTTAATACACAGTGTGTCTCTATATACCTGGCCGAGATACCGATGACCTTTACGCCTGCTTAATACACAGTGTGTCTCTATATACCTGGCCGGGATACCGATGACCTTTACACCTGCTCAATATACAGTGTGTCTCTATATACCTGGCCGAGATACCGATGAGCCTTACACCTGCTCAATATACAGTGTGTCTCTATATACCTGGCCGAGATACCGATGACCTTTACACCTGCTTAATACACAGTGTGTCTCTATATACCTGGCCGAGATACCGATGACCTTTACACCTGCTCAATATACAGTGTGTCTCTATATACCTGGCCGAGATACAGATCGCCTTTACACCTGCTTAATACACAGTGTGTCTCTATATACCTGGCCGAGAGACAGATCGCCTTTTTACACCTGCTCAATATACAGTGTGTCTCTATATACCTGGCCGAGATACAGATGACCTATACACCTGCTCAATATACAGTGTGTCTCTATATACCTGGCCGAGATACAGATGACCTTTACACCTGCTCAATACACAGTGTGTCTCTATATACCTGGCCGAGATACCGATGACCATTACACCTGCTCAATACACAGTGTGTCTCTATATACCTGGCCGAGAGACAGATCGCCTTTACACCTGCTCAATATACAGTGTGTCTCTATATACCTGGCCGAGATACCGATGAGCCTTTACACCTGCTCAATATACAGTGTGTCTCTATATACCTGGCCGAGAGACAGATCGCCTTTACACCTGCTCAATACAGTGTGTCTCTATATACCTGGCCGAGATACAGATGACCTTTACACCTGCTCAATATACAGTGTGTCTCTATATACCTGGCCGAGATACAGATGACCTTTACACCTGCTCAATATACAGTGTGTCTCTATATACCTGGCCGAGAGACAGATCGCCTTTACACCTGCTCAATATACAGTGTGTCTCTATATACCTGGCCGAGATACAGATGACCTTTTTACACCTGCTCAATATACAGTGTGTCTCTATATACCTGGCCGAGATACAGATGACCTATACACCTGCTCAATATACAGTGTGTCTCTATATACCTGGCCGAGATACCGATGCCCTTTACACCTGCTCAATATACAGTGTGTCTCTATATACCTGGCCGAGATACCGATGACCTTTACACCTGCTTAATATACAGAGTGTCTCTATATACCTGGCCGAGATACAGATGACCTATACACCTGCTCAATATACAGTGTGTCTCTATATACCTGGCCGAGATACAGATGACCCTTTACACCTGCTCAATATACAGTGTGTCTCTATATACCTGGCCGAGATACAGATGACCTTTACACCTGCTCAATATACAGTGTGTCTCTATATACCTGGCCGAGATACAGATGACCTATACACCTGCTCAATATACAGTGTGTCACTATATATCTGGCGAAATATTGATGCCCTTTACACCTGCTCAATATACAGTGTGTCTCTATATACCTGGCCGAGATACAGATGACCTATACACCTGCTTAATATACAGTGTGTCTATATACCTGGCCGAGATACAGATGACCTTTACACCTGCTCAATACACAGTGTGTCTCTATATACCTGGCCGAGATACCGATGACCTATACACCTGCTCAATATACAGTGTGTCTCTATATACCTGGCCGAGATACAGATGACCTTTACACCTGCTCAATATACAGTGTGTCTCTATATACCTGGCCGAGAGACAGATCGCCTTTACACCTGCTCAATACAGTGTGTCTCTATATACCTGGCCGAGATACAGATGACCTTTACACCTGCTCAACATACAGTGTGTCTCTATATACCTGGCCGAGATACTGATGACCTTTACACCTGCTCAACATACAGTGTGTCTCTATATACCTGGCCGAGATACAGATGACCTTCAAACCTGCTTAATATATAGCAGGTCTCTATACACATGGCAGAGAAACAGATGACCTTTACACTTGCTTAATATACAGCGTGTCTCTATACATCTGGCCGAAATATTTATTACGTCTACACCTGGATGATATACAGTGTGTCTCGATACACCTGGTCTCAATACGATGACCATTAAATCTGGTTAATACACAGCGTCTCTATACACCTGG